ATGGAGCACTGGGTGTTATGCACAAACAATGAATCATGGAACACTTCATCTAAAACTAATGATGTAATGTATAGGGATTAACATAAGAATAAAAAAAAAAGAATATTAAAAAAAAAAAAGCTGGATAAAAACTGGATTTCTGAAGGGGAGCCCAGAGTCCACCGACAGGTTCCAAATCAACACAGCTGCTGGGAACCCCAGGAAGAGCAGTGCTTTAGAGGTCACCCCCTTCACAGGCCCCACGTCAACAACCCTGCTCTGAAGGGGGGAAAAAAAGGCCTTTGGGCAAACAGTGCTGGACTGCTTGGGTATCCCGTGAAAACGGAGCCGGGGGCCACGACAGCGGGCTGCAGGGCCGCTGGATGGACGCCGCAAATCCTCCCGGACCGTCAAGGGGTAAGGTAGGATCATTCCTGACTGAAAGCAAGTATTTTATGGAGCATAAAATCTCCCACTGGTAAAATGAAACAGGAGATGTTAAAGAACACTCCCTGCCCGTAGGAGACCCCTTCCATCTCTTCTGGAGACTGGGCCCAAGAAGCCCTGGGACAGAATAAGCTCTAGACCCAAACTGAACTCTAAATCCTGAGAGAGCTCTTAAATCCAGTCTGAGAGGGGCTGTTCCGCTGATGTCCGTTTACACACAGGCTGAGCCACGAAAAGCGATGGTCATGGGACCTAGAGGGCATGATGCTGATTCACTGACGGCTTGGTTAGGGGAAGACAGAGTTGAGCATACAGTAAAAGGTCAAAGCAGCTGATGTTTTGCCGGTCTGGCGGGCTTTAAAATCCATACCCATCAGTGATTTTCATGTTTCTGACCTAAAGTTATAGGTATCAGATGCTACAGCAACTTCTGCGGCTGATCTCATCCAGCAGAAATGTGTTCCCCAAACTTTATTTAAATACAATTATGATAAGACCTTAAGACTTGACTATCCTAACCATGACTCTCCTGCCCCAGGTACCATCCACATGGACCACACTGACCTGCAGTTCCCAGGTCGGAGATCAAGAAGCCTCTTCGTCCGAGAAGCATTCCTGGGTTAGCTGTCCCTCTTCTAAGCACATGGCTTCTTGGTCCAGCTCCCCGACCAGGCAGGGATAGGGACAGGGACACAGTGTCCACCACATAAAAGGCACTCAAAATATCTAAAGAAAACAAACATTTTTCCAGGGGCCCATAAGTGATACACCTGAAACAAAACCTAATCCTAATCCTCCATATTCACTCAGGGAAAGCATGTGCCTTGGACAAGTGAGGGCAGAAGGAGAGGTAATGGAGCAAAAGGTAGAGCTTATAGGCCAGAATCAAAATACAGAGGTATATTTGAGAAAACGCAAACAGAATCAAGATTGGGTTTATTGCATTTATTCCTACTGTATGATTTAACACCTCATTTTTCGTACCAATGGTGTTTTTAATTAAAGACTATTTTAAATGTATTAATCAGTCATTTGAGGGGCCACTGGAAAGCTAATTTTGTATGCATTTGTAGTGACAAGATAAAAACATGTTCAGAATGAACTGACTGCCTATCACGTCCAAGACACAAACAGGATTTCACTTAACCCTTACAAGAATGCTGGGAAGGGCTGTTACCATCACCATGTCACAGTTCAGAAAACTGCGGCAGAGACGTTGATTTTCACTTGGACAACAGCCAAGGGCAAGTGGCCGGCACAACAATCATTCTGAGAGCATGAAAGCTGCTCTCAATTCCCTTAGAGACTGACTAACAGAACAGGCTCTGAAGACGAGCGGCCAGAAGAGGCCTGGAGGTAAGTTATCTCTAAAGGTCATTTTGGACGAAGTTGGATAAAGCCCCCCAGTTTCTCTCCAGGAATGGAAAGAAAGCTTCCTCCTCTTGCACAGCTCCAACTGACCTTTGTCATTCGCTCTCTCCCCCACCCCTTTCCCAGTTCCCGGTACAAAGACAAACCTGAGTGTTCAGGTAGCTTCCAGGGACAGCTGTACCCTGCTAACCCCGTGCCCCACCCCCCCAACCCCACTCCCCAGTACTGCTCCAGCTCCTGCTCCACCCTCCGTTTCCAGCACAAGTGAGGACTTGCGCCTCCTCCCCTCCCACAGGAGGAGCCTCGGGAGGGTAGTGGGTCACCTCCAGCTACTCTGCCCGGCTGCCTCTGCTGGAAAAAGCACAGCAGAAGCATTCCCAATGATCGTTTACCCCATCGCCTCAAGCCCCACGTACTTATCAGCCCTCACTCTGAACTACTCTTTAGACCATCCCATTCCTCTCTGGAATGTTCTTATTAGTTCTTCCTGCCCTCAGTGTCAAAGCCAAACATCCTTGTCTCACCTGCGGACAGAGGTCAAGCTCCCTCGTTCCCTCGTTTCCTAACTGCCAACTATACCTGCTGGGTTTTGCTGGACTTCAGCACACTTCCTGAGTTCCCTCCACTACCTGCTGCTTCCTTCCTACGGTCTGTGCCATTGGCAAATCTCTTCTGCGATATCTCTTTGTCTCCTCACCCAAACCCCGCTCTACCAAGAGTTCCGTCTCCTCCTCCTCAAACACTTGCCCAAGATAAGGAAGAGGGCGCTCTGAAATTCCACCTGCCCTGATGGATTACCTGAGGACTGAACAGTGGGTTCGCCTAAACTGCACTGCAATTACCTGGGGCTGGACGCTGTAATTCTTCTCCAAGTTAACCCCAAGTACACAGTGACCCAAATAATAGGCTCTCCCTGGCCTTCAATAAATGGGAGCCTGTTCCCTGACAGTCAATAAACAAAAATAGTACCTGGGAGTAAGTTATATAGCTGGGGTTGTTTTTGTTTTCTTTTCCTGCAAAGGAACACGTTCTTCCTGATTCATTAAAAAAACATAGCCATTCAGGGGTACCTGGCTGGCTCAGTCGGAGGAGTGAGCAACTCTTGCTCTCCAGGTCGTGAGTTCGAGCCCCATGTTGGGTGTAGAGAGTACTTACATACATAAAACTTAAAAAAAAAATCCATTCAATACAGAGACTGCAATCGCTTAGAATCCTATGCCACAGATGTACAGCTTTCTTTAGTGTCTGAACCTAACATTTTCATAATCCCCAAACCTTAAAGGATTAAAAAATTAATGTATTCAGCTATAAAAGACTCCAGCTCTCCATGAAGTTTAATCTGGGTTCCTTACTTTTCTCTGAGGCCCTAAAATTCTGCATAAAAGAAAGCATAAGAGAGCACACAAAGCTTGGATGACCCAGGACTGGACCTCACTCAGAAAGTAAGGTAAAAGAGCACCTGAAAAACAGCACATGTGACATTTCAATTATTGCAGATCAGGTTTTAAGGTCATTCTTTCTCACATGTTTAATGAAGGGCACTGCCTTCTAATTCTACGAGTTGCATAAACACTAACATTTGGTTATTTAAATAGTGACAGCGTAGAGAAACTCCGACTTTGGAGACTTTCTAGTAACGCAGCTGGGCGAACTTGAGCCACAGGCTCCTCACCCACCTACAGAGACACACGCAGACGGAGCTATGTATTTGCAGAAAACCAGCCACAGCCACAGACCAGAGCACACACAGTCACAGAACGTGCGTGCAGAAACAGACCCCCAAGGCACCAGATGCACACACAGACACGGACAGACACACAGACACTAATTCCCCAAAGCAGAGCTAATTTACCAAGAAATGGTCTTACCTGCAGAGAGAAATCTTACCCTATCCACAAAAAACACTCGTTCATCAGCGTCCAACCCACCCAACAACCCAACTCTGTGCTGACGTTTGTGCTGGGCTGGGATCGTCCTGATGCTCAGCAGGAGCCGTTTTAGGTGCTGAAGGAATTTCGGCTTTTATAACCCACACAGGCTCACCAAAATTGTATAACCATACCATCTAGTCAGAAATTACACAACAGCCACCACCTGGTTACAAACGGTTACTACATGCTTCTGGTATGGTCTGCTCACCATCAGTCTGTCACAAGTTTCACGTGGCATCGTGGATATTCTGTTGTGGAAACCAAGCAGTTGCTGGGATTACATTTCTCAAACCCACACAAATAAGGGAAATTAAACCTATCTTTCCAAACACTCCTGTTCAAATGAACGAGCCCACCCACACTGCTTCCAAGCTCAGTGACAGCGGGGGCGGGGGGGAGTTTCATACTTCCTGGTAATATTTCATTTCCCCAGCTGGGGGCCCAAAAACATTTCCCCAATTGGGGGCCCCAAAAACAATTGTTTTCAAAGCCCAAAGACTTTCAAAGATTAAGATCTTTGAGATGTATTGCGACAGCACGGAGAAACTCCGACTTTGGAGACTTTCTAGTAACGCAGAAGCATGATCTCAAAGCATGATCTGCTCATTGAAATGACAGGAAAAGCAACAACTAACTGCACTATTGAGAGCCAGCGGGGCTGTGTGTGGCCTCTGGCACGCAGGTCCCAGCCACAGAGGCCCCACTGAAGAGTGGAAGTGCCCACAGAAACACTCAGGAAGGCAAACCCGCACTGACAATCTAGCACCAAGAGGAGGGAAGAAGCCACAGCTGTCGTCAGACTTCGTCCTTTCTAGCCCTGACTCCAGGCCAGGGCCTGCCAGAAACCCGGGCAGCAGGCACCTGCTCCCCTGGGCTGTGCCGTGAGAGGGCAAGAAGCTGCCTCCCTCTCCCCAGCACCGCAAGGGGACCACAGGGCTCAGGTGAGAAACAGGCAGGCAGAAGGGACATCTACCAGCAGCACAGTACCTCCTGGAAGAGGTGATAAAGGCAGAGGAAGAGACAGGACAGCCTGGAGGAGAGCAGCTCTGACAGTTACTCATTCATGAATCATCTTTGGGAAGTCAGTGGTGGGCACAAGAGAAAGATGCCAGCTGACTGGAGTAGAAGCTGCAGTCGAAGCGGGGAGAAAGCTGGGAGCCAAGAGCTTTACCTGTTCAGGAGCAGGAGCTTCATCCTCACAAGTCCCCAGAGCACGGGTCACATGGGACATACCCAACGCCTCAGGTAGACCAGAAGGCCCCTCACTCCAAAGTGAGCTAAGAGGAAAAACCCAGCATGTGGCCTGTGGGAAAAAGAATCCAGTCTCTGTATTCTGAACACAAGAACCGTCCTCAGGCTGTTCTGTGAAGACTCTAACCTCAAAAAGTTTAAGCTGCAGGAACCGAAAGAAAATTTCAATTTGGAACAAAAAAGAATTAAAAAACAAACAGTTGCTATTTTTAAAAAAGGGAAATGGGATCACACAATTACATGAAGAAAACGGACTGAGACCCAGAGAGAACAAGCTGGGGGTGGTGAAGAAGCAACAGAGAGAAGTGAAAACCCAAGGAAACAGCAGAAAACTAATGGGTGGAGGACAAGTTTGGGAAACACGGAGAGACAAGGAAAAGTCCAGAAAGGCAGTAGCAGTTCCCAGATGAGAACCGTGGAGGGACAAAAGCAAAGAGCAAAACCAAGACATGAATAACCAGTGCTCCTTGACTAGACATAAGAAGAACAAAGAAGCCAGTCATGCCACAGGACTCCATTTACATGAAATGTCCAGATCGGGCAAATCCAGAGAGACAGAAAGCAGATTAGTGGTTGCATGGGGCTGGGGTGGAGATGGGGGACAGGAACGGGGAGTGACTGTTAATGAGTTTGGGATTTTTTTATGGGATGAAGAAAATGTTCCAAACTTGACGGTGATGGTTACACAAGTGTGATTCCCTGGAAGCTGACGAACCACACAGGTTAAACGGGAGAACCGTGTGGTGTGTGAATTCTAGCTCAATAAAACTGTTTTGTAAAGAACGAATGGAACAGGCTTAAAGATGTAAAAAAGATATAGAGTAGAAACCAACTATTCTGAGATTAAGAAAAATCGGAGACATTACAAAGGCACGCCAGATTCATGCAAAATCGGAGAAAAGAAACCTGTTCTTGGACACATTTTGGCAAAATAATTTAACTACAGGAAGAAGTTGTAGAAACATCCAGGGAGAAGGAGAAAGTGTTTGGGTTACTCAAGTAATAGCAGTAATTAAGATGAACCCCAGGATTTTCCAAGGCAGCATGAAAATGCCAGAAGTCTATAGAAAATGAAGACAGAGAACTGAAGAAAAGGTTTTTTTAAAAGAATTTTATACCCAGACAAGCTGCCCTTCATGTGGAAAAGCCAAAAAAATGCAACCTCAGATATGCAGAGGCTCAGAAGGGGGAAGGGGGAGGTTGAGGCTATTATTCCAACGGCCTAAGACGCAAAATTCAGAGAGGCCCATAATACGCAGGGCTGCTAATCACATGTGCCAATCAAAACCATCAAGGTCAGGACAAAACTAAATAATGAAGATAAACCTGATCATAAAACTGAACGCATATGTCAAATTATTCTCTAAGCATATGCTAGATTATGTGAAAAATGTAACTAATAACAATAAAGCAGATCCAGTAAGACTACATTATTAAAGATTAAAGACAGGCAATAAGATAATGCTCAAACCCATCTCCCAAACAGGTAGGACTTTTAAAACACCATTAGATCTTCGCGATAACTACTGGAAAAACTGGGTTTTTTCTTTTGTTTTGGAGGTTGGTTGGTTTTTTAGTTTTTAAAAGGAAACCACTATTAAAATTTGAAACAGATTACAGACTAAAACACAAACTAAACCTATAAATGAGTTAAATTCAAAGTATTCTCAGGTGCATCAGAATATAAATGTCAATGCCCAAAAATACACCTTAAACCAAGTGAAACAAAAATAAAGCAATAATGCTGCCTCATTATTTTTTAAATATCAGACACCATGAAATCATGCCAGAAGTATTAAAAGGGAGAAAAGCGGGTAAGTTTACATTGCTAAAGTAAAAAATTCACAATGGAAATATTATGTCAATTTTTATGTTCCAAACATTATTTCACTGATATAAAGTCCATACCGGCTAACAATATGGAAGAAAGGACCGACAGTTCATAAAAGTACCTGTCTCCAAGAAGATGGGGACAAGAGGGTGGAGGGACAGGGGCACAGTCTCAGTCTCCATGTGAGTTTTATTTTTTATTGATGAGAAAATGTGACCAATATAATGAATAAGGCTAACATAATAGGTACCAAACTGTGCACCCCACAGAAAATAGAGCTTTACTTTCACTGGTTAAAGAGCATTTGTGAAAACTGGCCATCATGCCAAATGAAAAGTTCAACCCCCCACAAAAAGGAGCATTTATTATTTCTCACTGCCTGACCATAATGCCACAAGAGATCAAAAGAATTACTAACCAACAAAGTCATAACAACTTCAAATTTTCAACCTCTCTCCCAAATAACCATTGGGTCAAAGATGAAACTGAAACTGTAAAAACACCCTTACAACAAAAAAGAATAAGTAATAAAATACCCTAAGGGACAAGAAATGAGAGAAAAAAATTGGCTAGAAAAGCAAAAAATAAATAAATAAATTGGATAAATACATCCAAGAAGGTTCTTAACAAGCCTCCCAAGGCCAAGGCAGATAGAAACCTTCCATTCAAAATTACATGGGCCCAGGTAGCTTCCCAGGCAAATGTCTGCAAGCACTAAGGAACAGAACTTCCTAGGCTACTCAGCTCCAGAGCACTGGAGAAGAAAAACAAGCCTATCAACCATTTTAGAAATCTAGCATCATCCTGATCATAAACTTGACAGAAAAAAGGAAAAAAAAGCAGTATTACAACTCTCATCAGTGGGTAGAAGAAAGCCTGTAAGATAAACAAACACCAAAAAGGCACGGGACAAAACTCAGCATCAATTTTCAAATAAAACTCTTAGCACATTCAACACAGAAGAAAAAGGGTCGTCAAAAAGAATCCCCATCTCATGCCATAGCTAATGAGATTCTTGCCCTGAAAAACCCCAAGAGGTGCCCGTGAAAGCCAGGACCAGGAGTCTGACAGCCTCCAATATAGAAGAGTGTCCTAACTACTACAATAAGAAAAAGGTTTTAGGGGCGCCTGGGTGGCTCAGTCGGTTAAGCGACTGCCTTCGGCTCAGGTCATGATCCTGGAGTCCCAGGATCGAGTCCCACATCGGGCTCCCTGTCAGTACGGAGTCTGCTTCTCCCTCTGACCCTCCTCCCTCTCATGCTCTCTGTCTCTCATTCTCTCTCTCGCAAATAAATAAAAAAATCTTAAAAAAAGAAAAAGGTTTTAAAGTGTGTGTTGGGGGCGCGGGGGGGTGCAGTGCAGCACTTGGGTGCTCAGTCAGTTAAGCGCCTGCCTTTGGCTCAAGTCGTTCTCTCGGGCTCCCTACTCAGCGGGTAGTCTGCTTCTCCCTCTACTCTTCCCCTCTGCTCATGATCTCTCTCTCAAATGAATAAATAAAATCTTTAAATAAAGTGCTAAATACTGGAAAATGAAAGACAAAATAATTATTTATAGGTAAGGGGTCTAACTTAGAAAATGAGTTTACAAACCTAGAATAAGATACTTCAGAAAGGTAGGTAGTTACAAAATGAACACAGAAAAAAACATCCCTGGCATAGCATTAACTCATATTAAGTCCCCCTCTTTTGTGAAGTATTGTATACACACATGGACGAGTACGCTAAGAAACTAGATGGCAGGGGCGCCTGGGTGGCTCAGACGGTTAAGTGTCCTGGGATCGAGTCCCGCATCGGGCTCCCTGCTAGGCGGGGAGCCTGCTTCTCTCCCTCTGCCTCTCTCTCTCTCTCTCTGACTTTCATGAATAAATAAATAAAAAAAATTTAAAAAAAAAGAAACTAGATGGCAATACACCAATTACTTTACAGTGATCATTTCTGTAAATCGGGATTCTGAGTATTTCTTCTTTGCGTTCACTGATATTTTTTTTAAAGATTTTATTTATTTATTTGACAGAGAGAGACACAGCGAGAGAGGGAACACAAACAGGGGGAGTGGGACATAAACAGGGGGAGTGTGAGAGGGAGAAGCAGGCTTCCCGCAGAGCAGGGAGCCCAATGCAGGGCTTGATCCCAGGACCCTGAGATCATGACCTGAGCGGAAGGCAGACACTTAATGACTGAGCCACCCAGGCGCCCCCGTTCATCTGATTTTAAGTTTAAGCCCCTCCCATTGTATTAAGGGACAAATTAGAAGCAGCTCAAATCTTAATACCTATAAGGTTAGTAAATTTAGGACCAAAAAATGATGCAAAACAACTAAAAGGCAAATACTAAAAAAAAAAAAAAAAAAAAAAGTAACTCTTCAGAAATAATTACGCATTTAAAAATATGTAATTTGACTAATGCAATCTCTAGTTTATGCTTTCCTTTTAAGGACAAAATCTAAACTGTTTTGAGAAATACCCTTATATGTGGTGATTATTTCTGTCTTTCCAAAAAAATGTTATATATAGACATTTCAATGCTGAAAAATGTTGAAAAACTGAGTAAAACAACAAAGGAGGTTTAGAATTATCAGCTGGACAAAAACTGCTCTGATTCTGTAATAAGCCAAGGCGGAGGGCTGGGGGGAGGAATAGGTCTAGAAACACAAACAGCAAATTCATTGACTAACAGCACCCCCTAGTGTTATAACATTTAACTAGCACTGAGTAAAGTAAATTGGAAAATACAAAACTGTTTAAAAAACTATTTTAGACAATTTCAAACATAGAAAAGTAAACAGAATTAAAATACATTTCATATATAACTTATTTCCAACTATGCATTGTCCTGATTTGTGTGGCAACTTCTCTATTTCATCAGAAGTGTCAGAAACCAGCAGGTTTCTCCAAGAGTCCTTTGTCACTCAATTAATTGTTACTATAAAAACACTTGACTGGGATGCCTGGGTGGCTCAGTCGGTTAAGCGTCTGCCTTTGGCTCAGGTCATGATCCCAGGGTCCTGGGATTGAGTCCCATGTCGGGCTCCCTGCTCGGCGGGAAGCCTGTCTCCCTCTGCCTGCCACTCCCCGTGCTTGTGCATGTGCGCGCTCTCTCTCTCTCTGACAAAATCTTTAAAAAAAACAAACAAACAAAAAATTTAAAAAATTAAAACCCTTGATTTTAGGCTGGGCACACAACCAACAAAATTCAGGCAACGTTTCCCAGCCTCCCCTGCAGCTAGACATGGCCACATAACTAAGTTTTGGCCCATGGGATGTGAGCGGAAGTACGCCCTCTCCTCCCCACTGGCTCCAAGAACCATCCTGAGCCATATTAATAAATCAGTATGCTAACAATGGTGAACAAAGTAAGAAAAAAGGAGCCAGATTACATAAGAGAAAAAAGCTACTATTTCCATTTTCTTCTATATTAGAACTGCCTGAACTATACTCTTTAAAACAAACAAAACAAAACATGTAGAGACACAATCTGGCAAGACAACGCATTTTGGAATAAGCCCAATGACTACATTCTCAAAAGGAAACGGAACAGTACGTACTTCAAACCTGGATGAATGTTGATGAGTGCTATTTTTCCTTCAAAGGGAAGCATCATGGTAAAGAGTAAACATCTGGGTGAGATGAGCGAATTAATTCACTGTTCACCTTAAATTCGCTTCTCTGACATTTAAAGGCTGGCCACTTGTTCATGGTCTCAAAGCACAGCTCAGAATGTGTGCTGACAGCACATGCCAGAACTCTCGCACTGAAAGTAAAATCAAGTTTATCCAACTCTCAAAGCAAATCCATTGTGAAGACTGTATCCTCCAAACCCAAGATTCCCCTTACAGCCCAGCCTGGTCAGCACCACGCAGCAAACACCAGGATCAGGGGAAGGAGCCCTTCCCGGGGAGCCCGGAAGCCCGGTCCACACCAGGATCAGGGGAAGGAGCCCTTCCCGGGGAGCCCGGAAGCCCGGTCCACATGCACGGGGGTACAAGTGCTGGAGTCATTAACTAGTGGGCCTCAAACGTCTTGCTCCGTAAGTAAGGCTGCTGGCCTACATCTGCGGCTTCGGCACCTTCTGTTTCTCGAAATGGAACAAGCACTCTCAAATTAAATCTTGTTCAAGGCCTGGAGGGGGGGAAAATCACAAGTAAGTGGAAGAGGTCATTAAAATGGGGACTGCATACTCTTCACTGTAAAGTTTTAATACGTATTTTCCAGAAATAAAACCAAAAAAAAAGAGAAAAAGTCCAATCAGTAAATCAAAGACTCCATAACTTAAAGAGCTTTGCTGACAGCAACAAGAAAAACACCTTTACCAAATTTTCTAGCAGCAGCCTGCAAATGTTGCACTGTACTATACCACCTTTTATCACTATTTGGTTATTCTAACACAATGCTCTGGTTCTGAATTAAAGGAGAAAAAAAATAATTCAAGACCATGGAGAGCAAAAATCTATTACGTCAAGTCCTTTTAAAATATCCAGGGTTTTTTTTGTTTTGTTTTTAAAGATTTTATTTATTTATTTGACAGAGAGAGAGCACAAGTAGGCAGAGCGGCAGGCAGAGGGAGAGGAAGAAGCAGGCTTCCCGCAGAGCAGGGAGCCCGATGCGGGGCTCGATCCCAGGACCCTGGCATCATGACCTGAGCTGAAGGCAGCCGCTTAACGACTGAGCCACCCAGGCGCCCCATAAAATATCCAGTTTTTAAAATTTAATTCTTTGTGTTAAAAAATATATGACATACTTATTAGAATGGCTAAAACAAAAATTAAAACTGCTAAGATGACACACCAAGTGCTGATAAGAACACAGAGCAACGGGAACTATCATACACCCCTGGTCAGTATGTAAAATGGCACAAACACTTTGGAAAAACATTTTGGCCATTTTATATGAAATGTTTTTCCAAAGTGATTGTGCCCAGATCCTTTTAACTTTATAAGAAGTTAAAAGATAAACTTACCCTATGACCCAGCAACAGTACTTCTAGCTATCTACCCAGAGGAATGAAAACTTATGTTCAAACACCTGCACATAAATGTGTATGGTGGCTTTATTTATATCAGCCAAAACCTGCAATCATTCACCTTTAGCTAGTGAATGGGTAAACCAACTGTGGCATCTCCCTGTTAATGAGAGGTCATTCCACACCCATCAGATAAAGCCAGTATGAAAGAGCTTAATAATACCAACTGTTGGCAGGACTGTGGATAAACAGTAATTTTCCCACCCTGTTGCCAGAGATGTAAATTGGTTCAAACACTTGGCAAAACAATTTGGTGGCATGTAGTAGGTTGTAGATGTGTGTGCACTATGACCCAGCAATGCCACTTCTCAGCATCTTGACCCTGTTTTTACCAGAACACAACCAACACATCAACAGAATATATAAGTTCTGATGCTTAAACAGAATTAAAAGAGAGCACTTAAAATGAATGAACTCTATCTAGCCACTTGGGTCAACATGCCTTGAGAACATTCCTGAATGAGCAAGCAGGCTACAGAACACAGACCACAAGAGATCTCTTACTTAAGGTTTTAAATCATGCAGTCAATACTGAATGTGTGTTTACGGGTATATAAACATGTAATACAAAAGTGAAAATAGGGGCGCCTCGGTGGCTCAGATGGTTAAGCATCTGCCTTCAGCTCAGGTCATGATCCCAGGGTCCTGGGATCGAGCCCCGCATCGGGCTCCCTGCTCTGCGGGAA